AGGGTGCTCGTCGACACTGAGCCCATTAGATTCTGCGGCCTAAACAATTTGCAGCCCACAAACAGTAAAGCCCAACTCAAACAGTAACCGCGGCCTGGTTAAACGTGAGTCAGATTCGGTAACTACAGTTAATAAAACCTAGGATGTACCCTCAACCTTGTACTATAAATAGGAGTACAACGTGATGTGACCATTCATCTTCCATTCCTCTGAAAAGAGTACAAGAGACCCAGAGCATTACCGTTCAAGTCTCTAACTCCGACAGAGAGCTCGCCAGGAGGTCACCACCGACCGGAAAACACCGAAAACGTTTACATACCTTTATTAGCTCGCAACGAATCGAGTAGCCCGTGTTCTGTCCGGCCTACTACACTCTTTCTTATCTATAGCAATCTAATAGCTCGGTATACTTTGTAACATTTATTTCGAGCTCAAACTCTAATACACGAAATTCTCCGACCTCCTGTTTACTACAAATTCATTGTTGAGTCTTTCTGGGTTAAACAAAAGTGAATCTTTGTCTAGCCAGGTTTCCGTATTTTCTCATCGAGGGCATTTTATTTTTTCGTGATTCAAGAGATTCCCATTCCTCCTCGTTCTACTTGTCATCTTCCAAGGCTTGTTCTTTAACACGAGTAGACTTATCCGGTGTCTTATCCAAATATTCTACCTTAATATCAGCTATCAACTCAGTCACAATCAATGTGTTGGAAATGATCATCTTCTTAAGCTTTCGGTTCGGTTTTCGGCTAATTTAGCTCTTCTGATACAGTTTTTGAAAGCCCCAAACACCTGCGTAAATGAAGGCCCCAAATTTTGTAAGACTTCGTAACGAAACAAGGAAAAGTAAACTAGTATGTGAATATGTGATACAAATCTTGCTAGCAAAATAGACATGGCGACCTCTCTGACGCCATGATGTTTTCAATATTTATTTAAAAACTGCGTGCTGTTTAACAATATGAAACACGGCGCCACAACTGAGAGCAGAGATTGCCGGAGATTAGCTTTTAATCATGGTTGCTCCGGTTACAGAAGAAGACTCAAGTCTCTGATGATGGCAGTCTCGTTTCTACGGTTTCCAATTCCTTCGCGGGTCCTCTTTTATCCGACCCGACTAATTCGGGTCACACCGTCGTTCGCACGATTCTCTTCCTCCGCCGCATTTCAACCGTATACTTCACTCGCACCGTCTTCTTCAAATAACTCCGATCACTCTCTCGCCGATAAATGGGAATCATATCGGAAGAAGAAGGTCGTCATTCGGATTGGGTACGTCGGTACCGATTACAGAGGTATGGGTTTTTAGTTCCCGATTGATTTCCAATTGCGACATTCTTCTGTGACACTTGTGTTTGTGATTTTATCCTTCCATTTTCAGGTTTGCAGATTCAAAGAGACGACCCTGCTCTTAAAAGTAAGTTCTTTATGTCCTCACTTTATCTCCGTCCTAAAAAAAGTTTCGATTTTTCCCATATAAAGTTGCAAACTTTTGTTCATGACATAAACCCTAAACCCTGCAGAATCAATCCCATAGTTTCTTTCTCTCAAAACGTATTGACTATGGAACTTGGAAACTTCTGTGAGATTACGTTTTTGAGTAGACTATTACGCTAAATGAAGCTAATTTGATTTTGAATTGTAGCTATTGAGGGTGAATTGGAGGTTGCTATATACAAGGCGGGTGGGATTCGAGACAGTAACTTTGGTGATCTTCATAAGATTGGTTGGGCCAGAAGTAGTCGAACCGATAAAGGAGTAAGCTTTTTTCTCTGTTCCACACCTGATGATATGATCCTCTTCTGTTGAATAGATTTACTATGTTGATCTCTTTGATTGTTGTTTTTAGGTTCATTCTCTGGCAACAACAATATCGCTGAAAATGGAGATCCCTGAGACGGCGTGGAAGGATGATCCTCATGGTACTGTTCTTGCTAAATGCATTAGCAAACATCTTCCTGAGAATATCAGGGTTTTCAGCGTTTTACCGTCACAAAGGTGAGTGAGAACGTTTATCATGCCCTGAGCTTGGGGTGCGATATGATTCTGAATGATATTTATATTGAAATCAAAGATTGGACTCTTATGCTTGACACTCTAGTTTACCGTTTTCGTTTACAATTAAATGCTTTGCCACTACACAGGAGATTCGATCCTCGAAGGGAGTGTACACTTCGGATGTATTCTTACCTCCTTCCTGTTGATGTTATTGGGGTCAAGAATAGCTTTACTTCAGATGAGATTGACGATCACCTTTCGGATTTCAACGAAATTTTAAAACAATTTGAGGTCAGAGCTTTGCGTTGTTTCTTTAGTTTCAGAGACTTCAAGCAAAGCTTGTTACGGTTTTTGCTTCATTGGCACTGGTTTTTTCTTGTAGGGTGACTATCCTTTCCATAACTACACACAGCGGTCAAAGTACAGAAAGAAAGCCCAACAAATTATATCCCAAAGAAACGGACGCCCTGCAAAGAAACCAAAATTAGTTGAAGCGACAAAATCAGAGTTTAC